ACTGAGGATTTGGAACTGACCTACACTGCAATCACGTTGTTGTTTTGTATTTGTAAGTACAACTTTCACAGGCACATCCTCACTGTCACTTACCTTTTCAAAGACTGGGAAGTACCTGTTAGTTGCCCTCTCCTTAATTGAGTCAAGATTTTTCTCCTTTGCCTCAGGCGGAGAGAAAGGAAACACCAAAATCATTTGCATCAGGTCTGTTATTCCTTCCACATACATGTCAATCCTATTGGTGGGAGGAAGACAGTAGGAAAGAGCACAGGGGTTATTTCATCTGCTTTCCAATTAACTAAGGCAATTTATAGGAATTTTATATCACCACCACAGTGCCAATTTTCACAGCCAAAACTAAACATGAACTAAAGCTAAATATTCTTTAAAAGGACTAAAAGCCTGCTTCTGTTCAACAGTGATTCAGAAGCAGTGGTTAAAACCTGAGCAAAGGCTAGAGTCCTTGCTCTTTATTGTGTTAGCCTTTCTCACTCCTTCCTACTGGATTTACAGGATTTGTTTTAAGTAACGCAGCTGTCAAACAACAGATTGCTCATTAAGTGAAAGGAGGTGTTACGGTACAGGGCTCTCTCCTTCAAGTCTTTCCCGTAGAGGTTGTATTTCCCTGCTATGTAGCTGAGGATGGCTCTGGTCTGCACCATCTTCATCCCATCGATCTCAACCAGGGGCACTTGCTGGAACATCAGGACTCCATCTAGGGTGGAAAGTTGAGGAAAAGCTTGTTAGTTCCTTCTAGACTTCTAGCTTTACAGGAGAGCGAGAGACTGAGCATGTTTCTTTTGCTGTTTAGGAGGTCATTGATATCTTGCCACACCTGTAAAACTCCATGCAGTAAACCAACATTGTGGGAAAGATCAAATATTGACTAGTCTGCATCACACTGTTGTAGCTAGGTCATCACAGTGCAGCTGGGCCCTTTGGTTTACAGCGTTGCCAGAGCTCTGCTGGCTGATGGGAGCTGGCACCAGCTGCTTCTTTGCAGTTCTGGACCCTGCCTCACGCTGGCAGGAAAAGCTTGAACTAGCACTTTCAACCCAAGGGATCGAAGGAGAATAAAGATCTGTGTTAAATCTGAACTTAAAAAAATCCAATTATTCTGAATGCAGATCAGTTCCTTAGCGGGGACACACACACACAAATAGAAATTATGAAAGGGGTAGTACCACAGCAAGACTGAGATACTGAGGTAAAGGAAGAGGTCAGGCCACTTTAAACATCATGAAGCCACAGAGTTAGAGATTGTTAGGGACTGTGACAGCCATTGCAGTTTAAGTAAGTTTTACACAGTCACTCCAGGGATGAGAGTTTGTGTCCCCATAGATTTTCATTACAGGGCTATCCTCAGGCTTAAATTGCTGTGGAATGACACTATTTAGATAAGCCACTACAATCCCTTCCAGCCTCTGTAGTCCCATTTTCTCCTGGTGTTGGTAGGATCATTTGTCTGAGCCTTCAGTGAGGCAGCTCTTGGAGCTAAGCTGACATGGAGATTCAGCATAGCAAAGCCAGTCTTTTCTAGACCAGTTTTCTGCTGGACTAATTGACTGTCTTTGGAGAGACTCCCTTCTCCATTCACACATTAAGGGGATACAGAGAACAACCCCATCCTGTTAAAATCACAGCAAAACTCCAAATACAACTAGGTAGCTGCCACTTTGCATTGCTCAAAGTCAATAATTTATTTTAATTGCTCAATTTTAACCTGTTTGTGGCATCCTTCTTTAAGGTATAAGGGTTCATCTTAACAGGCACATCTGTCTGCTTTCTTCTCCACAGAACTATTAAAATATTTGCTAGCCTAGAATTAATAAATGTTCTTCACTTATTCTGTATTATTAATTTACAGTTTAAATTCAAAGAGTAGTCATCTGCCTGTGTTTGTTTCTTGTAAACAGTCACAAAACTCAGGTGTCTTCATGTCTTTCCAGAACACATCTCTGCAGCTTAAGGAAAAAATATTACTTGGTATCTATCTAGCAGAAACACAGTAGAATGGGAAAACTACCAGCTCTGCAAGGATATTTTTCAGCAAAAAGATGCACAAAGTGAAAAATAAAATCTGACTTTCTGGCCCTTGACAAAAAGTGGTGCAGCAAATGTGAGTGACCTGAGTGCACGGTTTGTTTCTTATCTACAGAGTAGAGGGATTTCTCTCTTATGACCAGCAGCAGACTGCTTCTCCTCGCTTTGCGGTGAGAACCACTTCACGTAGCCACTGCATAGAATAGGTATGCAGGATTAAAAGCAGTTTGCCTATCGTTTTGCAGATTGCATTGTGCTGTCTGAAGGTGGTCTGTGGAGCATTAAACACCACGCATCTAGACCTACTATTTGTCGCAGGCCAGCAGAGCTTCTCAGCAGCCAGGTAGCAACTTGGGGAACCTGTGGCTGCACAGATTGAGCCAAAGTAGTTTTCTCTCAGGCCAATGGGTAAAGGTCTGGCCACGCTGATGCTCTTTAACTCTCTCAGCCTCCAAAACAGCTGTCTGTCTGTAAGCTGGCTGTTAGGAAGAGCTCCTTGCTCAGGCTTTATCCTGGACACTGCTGCAGCATTGCTTAGAAGATCATCAGCTGGCCTGGACCATTCTAACAATGTGATGATGTCTAAACACAGGAAACCCTGGCAAAAAGCATGTTGGTAGAGAGAGAAAAATATTACAGGGAGAGGTAATGTGGAGTTATTCGTGTTCAGTCCTGCCCTGCATGATCGGCAGCATTCTAAAGGTCTCTATCAGGATGACTAATTAATTTGTCTTTCTTTAACCCACCGTATCAAACCCCACCTTTTTTTTTCTGTTCTCACCCTCTTAAGCTCAATATATATACATAAAAGCCTTTGATCTTCTTTATAAAACTTCCCTATCCTTTTCATGACCACTTAATTCTTCTCTCTGGATATGGATAATCTTTGACGCTGTATCCAGGATTGTATCACTCTGTCTGGATTAATTAGTCCTGTGAAACAAATTCAGATTTGGGCTTTCAGTACCCAAGCTATGACATTCAGAGCTACAACTGGTGTCTTTACGCTGCACTGCCCTCCCACATTGTCAGATTCCCAGCCAGCCAGACCTGCAGCTTTCATTCTGATCTTCTTGATACCACTTCTTTTTTATTTTTGTTCATTTTAGTTTTCCTGCCAGAATTTCTTTAAACACAGCTTTCCCTTTCTAAGCAGGCAGCCAGAATGCAGCCAAGTCCTCTTCAAGTCCCCTAGTACGTCCTGGCAAGCTCAGCCTGCTGTGAGGTTTCTTACATGTCTCGGGCAGCAGGTAAACTGCGGGGCTGGTGCACTCTAGTTTGGGAGCTGGTCTCACTCCCAAGGCTGACATGAAACCTTTGTGGCTTGCTGCTTTGACCGTGTCAAACTTCCTGCAGGTCTCCCTGCTTTTTAGCTGGGGGAAGTTTCATGGCTCAGGCTTATCCTGCTCAGCTGGCCCCATACCTTACTGCCCCATCAACCCCTGCCTTAAACTTCGTAATTCCTGGCCTCTAGCACTCTCCAGTCAATACCTACAGATGTGTCTCAGCTGATATTTGACATAGTAGAAGTTTCCTTATAACATCTGAGCAAATATTACCTTATCTTTCTTCAAATCTACCACTGCTATGACTCGGGATGTGACAAGTGACTATTCCTACCACCCTTCTTTCCTTTACTTGCTGTCTTCTTGTCTCTTCTAACAGTTAAAAATTCACACTCTATTTAACAACTAAAGCTATGACAATTCTCTGTTACATGTTACTTTTCTTTTGTCACCTGCTTATACACCTCTAGCCTACTGTTTCCTTCACACGAGGGTTTGCAATGTAAGGAGAAGAACTGTCACTGGTGTGTTGGCGCAGAGTCTAGAACAAAGGAAAACTGCCTTTCCTGGGGATTTGGGTGCCATGCTGGCCTTTCATTTAGAGGCTTATCTCACTGAGGTTCAGAACCGATGTACAGGTTCATCTATACTAATCAACTCAAGAAGAGCTCAGGCCAGCTGACACAGACTGGCCACATTTGCTCTATTCAACTCTCTCTGCCCACAGAGCGTGGCGGTCACATCTAAATGTCATCTTGGAAATGGCCCCTGGCCTGGGCCAACTCCTAAATGATGCCTATGAATTGATTTGAGGAGTACTAGTTGTCCCGAACCAAAAGTGTGCCAGGAACCATGCTAACAGTTCATCGGCATAGAATTAAGTTGCACTTAATTTGCTACCCCTGTTTAATGTACTACAGAAACACGGTCACAGAAGCTATGGCTTTTAGTTTATAGGAGTTGTTTGGCACTGCAAAGAACAGTGCCAAACTAGTATTTCAGTACTCTAGGTGTGCAACTAGAAGTTTGCACTGGTGTAAATAAACTGATTTTAAACCACAAATTTAGCTAAATTGGAGCAATTTTTTGAGAGACTAAGCATCAGATTCTTACCTTTGATTAACTTTTCATACTGCTCTCTTGTTTCCAAAAAATTTTCTTCAAACTGGAAAAGGAGAGAGAAGAGCATTACGTTGCTGTATTTGACCATTTTTTCTTCTGTAGGTGACTGCACATAACCATGTGCAGAATGACCCAACCAAGCAAAAAATAATGAGCTGGATCTTCAACTACGCTGTTTGGGCACAGGTGTCCTGAGGATCCCCCACCCATCCTCACAGCTGGAGAGGAGCAGAAGGGCCTGGCCACCTCTGCCTCCGGGCACTGATTCAGAAATAACCTGAGTGTGGGTAAAAAGAGAGTCCAGACATCTGCCGGAGGAAGACAGATTGCAACTAATACCAAGGGGAGCACAAGGTAAATCAACTACTTCTAACCCCACCCCATGTAAGTCAACAACACTCTTTTGTTTATACACATTGTCACTGCAGACTAAGTAAGACTGAGTTAAGGAGGTTTTGCCCAGCTGGAAAACTCAGGTATTAATTAAGGGCCTTTAAATTAATCCCCATTTTGACCAATTCTGATTGATTAGTTCAGGGGACTTATACTAGCTCCAATAAACTCCAAGCTCCACCGAGTTTGTACCCCAAACATTAACCACTGAACAGGGTAGTTACAAACGTGCAGTGCCACTGGCCAAATGACCGTAGCCACCACTTTGCAGCCGTTTATCCTCCCACTGAGGGTTTTCAACCCTCCTTACCGAGGCCAGTTTTAAACACCACTTCTGAACACTGCACCGAGTGTCAACTAACCTCCACACCGGCTGCTGCCAGCAGCCATCGGACAGGCTCCATTCGCCCCCTTCCATTACAGTAGGTAAGCCTGGGCTTCCCCGACATGCTTCTGAGCTCCTGGTTCCCTGAAAAACATTAAGCAGAAAACAGTGTCTCATAAAACTGGTGTAAGTACCATTATTTTGGGGGGGAGAAGGAGCCTCTCATTCACTATGCCTGTTGGAATTGCACTGCATCTGGTTTAAAATGTAAAATGAGAGATGGACCAGTGACACCACACAGCCTGTGCTAGGAAAGATGTGCAGATTTGTAAAGCCTTCCCCAGTGCTAGTAGGGAGGCTTTTTATGATTATAAGCAAACACAGACATGTTTAAACATGTGGTTTGAGTCCCAAGCTACAGGGGAAACCTTGCTGCATTTTAATAGGGTTATACAAAGCTAGTGAAAATCTCACCACATCCTCAGGGAAGTTATTCACTTACAGTTGTTGCCATCATCCTCATTGAAAAGAAGAAAAGGAAAACATGTTTTACTGCTAGGCTGAAATCTATCTAGCTTTGCCAGATGTCAGAGTGTATTTTGCAGCTTCAACTGCCATCCACTTCTTTCCTCAAGTAGGGGCAAATGAATTGTTAATCTTCCCTTTATTCCACCAAGCAGGCTGAGCTCCCTTGTCTGTCCTATTGAATGGTTACAGCCTGTTTCCATGCTGCTTATGTCAGCCTTGAGATGTCCCTCAAGGACAGATCTGGAACCTGGCTGCATTGGCATCAAGTACCCCCAGAAGTATCACCCAGGGCACTGGGCACTGTGGGAGGCTGGAGTAACCTCCCTGGAGTAACCCTCCTCTCTGCACCAGGAGCAACAGAGCGCGTGGCAGAGACGTCTGTATCGAGCCGTTCCATACGTAGGGACAGCCAGCTGGACTATTTGCGCTGACGCTTGCGTATAAGTGTTTGCAAATCCAGGCTTTAATTTCTCTGTGTTTCATTGCCCTAATTACTAAAAAATGGGACTAGCATTCCACCTTCACAAAGATGTTAATGTCATACGCTAATGACTGGGAGAAAAAAAAAGGTTAAAGATGGGTATCCTAATTGTGTCCTAATGACTCAGAAACAAAGAGTGCCTGATTTTAAAAAATAATTTTAGATGACCCCAGTTTTCTCAAAGCTAAAAGCCAAAGCAGCTCTATTAATTCTGTCACACTTTGCAGCAGCATTACATTTCCCATTTGAATCAGGTTCAGTACGCCCTAGTGACGCGCTTTCTTCAAGTCACAGTGCTTTGTAAGTGTACTTAAAGTACGTTTGGAACATATTTTGCCAAAACCTGATTTTAAAGAACAATCACATTGAGAGTTCTCCCTTGAGCAATTGTGATAGGAACTACATCATGTTACTACAATAAATATGGATATCTGGGGTAATTTAGACAATATAATCCAAGTACACATAAAGGAAAAAATGATCACCACCAGTTTAAGTGCAAATAGCTGCTGCAAATTACAATGTTTTGCCTCTAAGACAGTGGTTTTATTAGCTTCTGCACATTGTGTGACTAGCTTTTACTATATGACAGTCAGCTTATCTATGTAGTTCACAACAGCTAATTAGTGCCTCTTTCATTATCATACGTCTCAGATACATTGCATCTGTATCATTTCAATACATATTGCCCCAACTTGTAACGTGCAGACACTTACAGCAAATAAGATTTTAACTAAAAAAGCCAAAGACTGCAATACCAAGGATATAAAACTTAATCCTCTTGGAAAATTTATGTATTGTTTGCAGAACAAAAACAGAGGGAGTGAAAAGCCTTAGGTATCATTTTACATTAATAAGAAATTCTATATGGCATTAAATTATGTGACAAGAACAATGACAAATGGAGAATAAAAACCTGTCGTCAGCTTCATTTTTATTTTTTTAATTAAGAAGAACTCTGTCAGCCGTAAGTGGATTTTAATTGTCTTAAAGTTCTGACAGTAAAAAAAAAAAAGTTGCTTTTTTTCATAAAGTCTCCTCAATCTCTAGATCCACTGAATGTATCTCCATTGATATACAGGGACCTGACACATGTAATTCACCTACGGACACCAACAATTCGGTGCCTGGTCCTGAAGCCAAGTCCTGCTCTGAGAACTCAGTTTAGTTGCCCATTCCTATGTGTCTACTGACACTTGAGATTCCTTAAAGGTGGACAGATACAACCCTCGACCCTTTGGAGACAGGGGCAACTTTTTCTAACTTAAAGCAGTATACCTATTCACCCGGTCTCTCAATGCCTTTTTTGCATTTATTTGGGGAAAGATACAGCTAACATACATAGACAAGGATCCCTCAGGGCTTCCCTAGGTCCTCCACTATTTTTCTAAAATTTTAGTAAAACATTTGCAGGATGATGTGTCTAAAAAAATTCATCCATTTTTGATACAATATGCTGATGATTTATTAGTGTTCAAGGAAATTTGGTATAGCTGACACATGTACCTTACTGTTTGCCTCAGCTGAAAAGGGCTATCAAGCTTCTCCACATAAGCTACAATTTTTGGAACAGAAGTGTAGAATATCTGTGTTATATTCTCCAACAAGAGGAGCAGCATTTATCTGAAAACCATTTCAAAACCATTCAAAATCTTCCCTGACCAGTTACTAAAATGAAATGCGAGCCTTTTTAGGAGCTGTAGGATTCTCCCACCCCTGGATATCTCCTTTCAAGGAAATGGCAAAACCAAAAAAACCCCCAAATCGCCCAGATTATTGCTCAAGTGCTGAAGAACCCATTCACTGGACAACAGACAAGGTAAAGACATTTGAGTTTTTGAAGCAAGTTGCACCTGCCCTGGGACTGGCAGACTACAGTAAAACATTTACCTTGTTCATACAAAAAGGGAAAGGAACAGCCTCTGGGACAGTAACAAACATGCTGAACCCTGTGACTCTACTCCTTGCACCTGGGGAAGGAGCTCCACATCACAACTGTGTAGTAACCACCCGTGAAGCTGAAAAGACTCAAGAAAATTTAACAGACATGCCCGTTTCTAAATCCCAATCTGGAACTATTTGTTGGTGGGTACTCATATTATCTGAGCAGCAAACAGGTTACGGGTTATTCAATGACTACTGTGAATGAAGAAGTGGAGGCTTCACCACTCAGTCTGAAGCTGAGTGCACAAGCTGGCCAAAGAAAAGACTGTAAAAATTTATGCTGATTCTCAAGATGCATTTGGAGCATGCCACACTACTGGACAGTTACAAAAGCTGTGTGGGTTTATAACTTCTAGCAGAACTAAAATATGAAGTGCTCTGCAAATTACTGAACTGTTAAAAGCTATACAATTGCCAGAGAAACTTGCTAGCATTCATCAGCCAGCCCATACTGGTGGAAGGACAAAAGAAGAGATAAGAAATAGTCTAACAGATATTGCCGCTAAAGCTGCAGCACAACGGCCATATGAACCACCAGGCTTACAAGTAGTCCGACAGTCCGACCTGGTGTTGCTCGCTCCTGAAAAGACATGTTCAACTGTTCATACTGAAGAAATTGAGTCTTGGAAAACGTATGAAGTGACCAAAGGCTCCCAGGGAAGATGGAAAGCAGATAGGAAAAACTTGCCTATTTTACCTAAGCAATATCTGATTCTCATAGCAAAAATGCATCACCATCCAGGTGTTTTAGGACTGCTGCACTAGCCCAGACACTGCTAGAAGAATTGCTTTACACCAGGAATTTATGCTGCAGCCAAGTAAGTAACCGTGTCTCACACGCACTACCTTTAGTCTTAATGGATATTAAGCAAAGACCTCAACACAAAATTTGTCTATATAAAATGTTTTTACTGCTTTTGTCTAAACTCCATATTCCCATCCTATTTCCTAGTAAACCTGAACAGCATGGCTGTCTTGAATTTCTCTGAGGATGCTTCTCAGCGATGTAAGCATTGTTTAAGAGAGGATGGTCTTTCAGAAACAGCATTACCAGCACTCAGTGGGAAGAGCCCTTTAGCCCCAGTGCCGGGAGCAGAATCGAGCGTACCAAATGGGCCAGCTTTCCTGCTCAAACCTAGAAGAAACCACTATGGTGCTGGAGGCTTGTACTGCGTTCTCCCACCCACCTTTGCCTTCCCCCTCAGCAGTTTCATGGCTGCCTTGCTCAGCTCTGAACTGCACCACAAGATTCATTTCCTGGTTAAAAAAAAAAAGTTTTTCTCTTCCTTTCTCTCTCCTGCATCTTCCAGCTGGTGAGCAACTATCAAGCCATGCTTAGTCTACCTGACACATGAACTAAAGACAGCAGAGAATTTACATTACCCCAACAGATACTCTAGTAAATTTGGAAGTAGCTTCACTATAAATAGTCACTCAAACACATTAAGAAAAAGGAATTTGTAAGTTAGTACTTACCTCCTAAACTTAACCCAGCCTCCACCCAGCACAGGCACATTCCCTGGGGTGTTTAAACTTTGGAGCTCGGGGGAGTTCCCAGCCATACCCAATGAGAGAGAAAATCTCCTATTGCTATTAAGCTGGCACTGCCCAGCTTAAAGACATAGGTGTCTGAAAATTGCCATCCAAGGCAGAGACTGTCTTACTTTTTCAGTTTGCTGATTTGATGATACCATGTGGGTAGCCTCATAGTTTCTATTGTAGCCGTTTATTCAAGCTGCTTTCTTGGAATTATAGGGGCGGTTTGCCGAAATACAAGGGCAAGACATTTTAACACATTGAGAAAATGACAGATTTTTCTGGGTCATACTTCGGGTAATAGTAACCATTTAAAGACTAACCACTAAAGTTTCTAGGCTTATTTCACTACTTAACAGTAACCCAGGTTTTTCTTTTCAGTGCTGTATGGCACAGAAAAGACACCCAAAGTATGGGATAACAATGCCCAAATATTTTGAAATGCAGTTTGCCAGTATCAAACTTACTTAATGATGACTTGGTCTAAAAAGTAGATGAGCAGTTTATGTCACAACTGAATCTATGTCTTAAGGCAGTAACATTAATTTTGGAAACTGAGTGTACATGGCTGATACTCAGAGATGAAGTAAACTATGACATTCCTACTGTTTCCATGAAATGAAACTGCTTCAGACCTGCTACCTACATTTCAGGTAAAATTACCA